GGAAAAAAAAAAGAAAAACAATGTTTTCTTAGTTAAAAGGTGAAAAAGTAATTAATTAAAAAAAAAAAGTAAAATAAAAATGTGCAGTAATGCAGGTGCTTCAGATCTTCTACTCTTCTTTTTGGCACGCCCGGAATTCAGGAGAATGTTGAATTTCCCTCTGATACACTGTTCCTCCGTGTTGTAAGCCACAGTCCTGATTTTAAGGCAGGCCGTATTGGTTCCCCTTACTGCTGTATTTGTATGTACAGAAGAGTCAGTTCGTGGCTCTGCCTCTGGGTGGCAGTGTGTCTGGATTGACCTCCAAGGCTTTAAGTCCTCTCTGACCAGGAGTTCTCTATTGTACCTGAACCAGCTCCGCCCAGATCTGTTTCACCAGTCGCCACTCTCAGCTCTGTTTTCCAGGCTCCCCAAAAACAATCTTCCCCTACAAGCTCCGCTAGCGACCCCAATTGGGCAATCACATGCACCGGGATCAACAATCAAACTCACAGATTTAAGAGGAAGTGTGTAAACAAGAGCCTGGGAGGCTGTGGAAACTCGCAGGGTTCCACCTTCCAGAACTCCGCGGAGTCTCAGAGCTGGTTTTTTAATCGTTACCCTGCTCTGTCTCAAAGCTTTTATTTTATCTTTATTTATTTGACTAGCCTAGATTTCTTTTTATATTCATATTCCCCCATGTTCCAATCCATATTTCTAGAACCATTACCTAATCTGCTATAAATTTTACCTGAACAGCTATATATATAAAAGCCCAGCCACCTGAATGGCAGAACAACCAGAATGACCTGTGGCTATGACGCGTACTGCGGCAGCCAACCAGTCTCATACGGGCCTCGTTTGCTCCCCCCCCCACCCGGCCAGCCCCCAGCACCCCGATTGGGGGTGGGGCTGGCCAGCCAATTGCCCGTGGCCCCTCCCCCCTGCTGGCCTAGTCAAATGGGCCCCCAGCAGGGCGGGCTGGCTGGACCCCACCTATGCACAAATTCGTGTACCAGGCCTCTAGTATTAATATTTTAATTTATAGCACTTAGTACATAAACATTTGTGAATTAAAATCATAAATGTTTCACCATTAAAAAATAAAAAAGTTGAGTATATGAAGAATTGAAGTAATTCTTTTCCTAAATAGAACTTCCTCAAGCTTCTCCATTTTTACAACTTACACAATCAACATAATTTTATCATGTATTCATATATCTTTACTTAAATTTATACTTATATCTTCAATTACCAACTTTTCTGTTTAATATTTATTATAGACTAGAGGCCTGGTGCACAAAAATCTGTGCACTCTGGGGAGGATCCCTCAGCCCGGCCTGTGCCCTCTCGCAGTCTGGAAACCTCAGGGGATGACCACCTGCTGGCTTAGGCCTGCTCCTGGGGGTTTGGGCCTAAGCTGGCGATCAGACATTTCTCTGGCAGCCCAGCAGCCCTCGGGGGATGTCCATTTGCCAGTGGGGAGCAGACCTAAGCTGCAGTCAGACATCCTTAGCACTGCTGAGGAGGCAGGAGAAGCTCCCCCCACCACCACTGTACTGGCAGCCATCAGCCTGGCTTGTGGCTGAGCAGAGCTCCCCCATGTGAGAGTGCACTGACCACCAGAGGGCAGCTCCTGCATTGGCCGTCTGCCCCTGGTGGTCAGTGTGTGTCATAGTGACCAGTCATTCCCAGTCTTTCTGCTGTTAGGGCCAGTTTGCATATTACCCTTTTACTATATAGGATAGAGGCCTGGTGCATGGGTGGGGGCCGGCTGGTTTACCTTGAAGGGTGTCCCGGATCATGGTGGGGGTCCCGCTTGCGTGCCTGGCCAGCCTGGGTGAGGGGCTGTAGGCTGTTTGTAGCTGGTCACACCCTCTTCAGGGTGCGGGTCCCCACTGGGGTGCCTGGCCAGTCTGGGAAAGGGGCTGAGGGCCGTTTTCAGGCTGGTGGGCGACTGAAGCTCCCAGCCTCTCCTTTTTCTTTTTTTTTAATTCTGGTATTTATTTACCTTCTATAATTGAAACATTGTTGCCATCACTGGCGCTCCCATCTCAGGCCACGGCCGGCTGAAAGCAGGTTTCTGGGGTTTGTTTAGCTTCTATAATTGAAACATTGTTGCTTTCGGGCTCAGAGCCGGGCCATGGCAGGCGGGGAACCTTGGCTTCCTCCATCACTGAAGCAAGCAAGCCTCATGCTCGCTTCAGCTGTGTGGCTGCCGGCCGCCATCTTTGTTGGCAGTTAATTTGCATATCCTGCTGATTAGCCAATGGGAAGCGTAGCAGAGGTACGATTAATTACCCTTTTTGTCTTTTATTAGATAAGATAATTTATACACACAATATAAATTTTGCTAGCTAGATTCTAATTTATAGCTCCTCATTATTTCCAACACTAAGTATATATGAATATTCTTCTTCACCTTTATGAGTTCAGATTCTCTTCCACTGAACTATATATTTATTTGTCAGATAACTCTTCCACAGGTATTAAAATGATAAATACATACTCCAATTGTTTAACTCTAAACCCTTTCCTGGACTAGGAGAGGAAAAATACTGGCAAGGCATTTATAGTGAAAAAAACAACACAATTTTCAAATTTTAATTCAATATAAATTTCAGAGTCTTTGAAAATAACCTCTTGAGATTTCCCAATTAAAAATATTTGCAATAATATTTAGTAATATTTACCAACATTATCTTTAAAAATAATTTTATCTTCAAAGGTGATTAGATATATGTTATTTATATCAAAGTTAAGATTTTAAAAACAAATACTCTTGTTAAAAGCTTGGCGTCCCTGGTGCGATTCCGTCCTGCGTGTCTCTGCTGCAGCGCGGAAGCCGTTTGTCTCCGCCCGCCTTCTCCCTCACCTACGTGCGCGCTACCACCCCATGGAAGATTCTATGGACATGGACATGAGCCCTCTGAGGCCCTAGAACTACCTTTTCGGTTGTGAACTAAAGGCCGACAAAGATTACCACTTTAAGGTGGACAATGATGAAAATGAGCACCAATTATCTTTACGAACGGTCAGTCTAGGGGCTGGAGCAAAGGATGAACTGCACATTGTTGAAGCAGAGGCAATGAATTACGAAGGCAGTCCAATTAAAGTAACACTGGCAACTTTGAAAATGTCTGTACAGCCAACGGTAAGG